CATGTGGTTGTTTTGGGCGCCTGAGTGGAACTATCTGGTTCCTTTTTCTTGGTTTTTTGTTGCCTCATGCATCGGCGCACAAAGTTTCTGGGGTAACCATTGCGGGAAAACAATTCAAACAGATGACAGATACGTGTCTAGTGGTACCACTGCCGAATGTTGTCGGCACATTGTTTTAACCGCCGAGTGAACGAGCCAAAACTCCAGGAACGTACTTCGAGCCAATGTTATGAAGAAATTCACTTATGCGCGCCCTCCTAGTGCTGAAGTCGACGTCGCCGATATTGTGGCGTAGGCCTCAAACCATGAACTTTGATCCTTTATTGAGGGTGAAAATTTTTATTAAAAAGTTACTAACGGTGTTAAAAGGCGTACCATGTTGCGACTTTGTAGTCAGGGGGCGGAGGGGAGAGCGATGTGCCTACGAGGTAACTGTTAGGAAATCTCTGTATAAACGCTAAACGCATAATGCAGATCACAGAACCGTTCATTACGAGAGAGGCAGACGTACGCTTTATTTTGAAAATATAGTTCCAAAATTTTCAGCAAAACCGTCCTCTATTCATCATAAACAAAAGTTGCCACGCTAACTACATAGCACCGGGCGGGTACAGTTGCATAAATGCCGAAAACTGAAATTGGCAACATCATGGCGACTCGTCCTCGAATGAGTCGCAAAATATAGGCACAATTAAAGTTCTTTAAAAACGTTGCTAGCGTCGTGCGCGTACGAGCTCATTGCTGTAGTTCGAAGAAACAAAGGGGGGGGGGCAAAAATCGGTTCATAATGGGCGTGATAGGCCAACCGATGTATATGTATAAGCATTTTACATGCGAATGGAGATCAAAAAAGTGGAGGCTCTGTTTCAAAAGTCCTTACCCCAAAATGCGGCCACCCAAATGCACCAGTTTCTCTCACCTCCACGTTCTTCGGCGCATAAAGTGATTTGTGCAAGGAATCGACTATAATAAGGAGAGCAGAACACTTACACAGACCGCACTTGCCTTTATCATATTCCGGTTACAAGAAAAGGCCAAAATTAGCGGTGACGACATTAGAAGAGACTTATTTATCGGGTGGCTTGTCGGATCTTTGCGTGCTACATCACAGTGTGGTAACCGCGTTGTAGGGCTGGGTTTACAATGTCCTCCATTTTTGATATCGGTGCACAAGGAGGCGACGACAAGAGATTGTTATATACTTCTGACTAGTACTTCCTTTCTCCCAACCCCACTCCCTTAGGATTTCCTCCTCCGTTCTACCGTCAATTGACGAAGTCAAAGCCATGACAACTACTGGGCTTCGGTACATGGCCAGCCAACGCACCTACACGGATGTCATGATTGACGTTCGTCCAAGCTGCTTCCTACTGCCCGAGCTGGGTGTCTATAAGGAGTGAGTTTCCCCCTTCCCATACATCTTCTCCAATTCAGCCTTCTTTGATGCACTTGAATGGTCCTTAAAATTGACTTCTTACTCTTTACCGATGTTAGCGACCATTACGGCTGCGCATAAAGTCCGAATTTTATATTATCGGACGATATAAGTTCGCTTGAGGTAAGCTACCCTACTTAGGTTTTGTAAAGGACGACGCCACCATTGACAATACTGTTAACTACTTCAGTATAAATGTTAGTGTGTTACTGAAACAAGTGGGCTAGATTTCTTGTTCATCGGATTTACGATTGGCCTAGTTGTGAAACACCTCATGGTACCCTTACCAGCCTAGGCCTCCACGCATTGACCGTCGACTCCGACGGTGTCCACCTTGTGATCCACAACGTGGCGATGCAGAGACGGTGACTTAAGCGTGGGTTAGTTTTTTGATGATAGTAGACTTGCGTTTTATCCACCGCACTCTCTCTTCTATCACCCGCCTATGCCAGATGTTAAGAAAATCGGAGGCAAGAACAAACGCAGGTGGTTGGCGTAGCCGGCAACAATCATTCAGATCCCGCGCGGAGTGGGATTGTCATCAAGGCCACAGGTGATTGATGCGGCGGGAGTCTGCACCTACGCGTGCTACTAACGCCCAATGAAAGCAACGACACGGAGCC